GAACCGCGAAAGTGCAGGACGGTAGGTTGACACGCTAACCACTCGTCTACACTGCCACTTTTACCCTTGAGTCACAGGGCATAAGTGAATTTCAAGGAAGGTTAGGCCTCTTTGCTATATCATATTCTTTTTGGTGAGAGTGCCGATGAAGCAAACGTATGTTTGCTATAGCAATCGACTACATTACTTATATTTGTATGATAGTAGGGTTTCGAGACTACCACTAAATCAGTGTAATGAGATATTATCGTTAACTTGAATACGCTGGTAAGATGATATTCTGCTCTGATGGTGTCCATCCTACGACGGACGAAAGCTTAGCACATTTTGACATAAACGAGGGGGCCCACCTCGGAAACAGCGTCAACAAGAATGTTCGAGTACAGCCAATCGACAGGTGGGCAAGGTGGAATCCGCTCCCTTCTTCTGACCTGGTCTACCTTCGAATTTCTTCATCTCACACTTCCGCTCAGAAAGGAGGCAAGCTTAACAATTATGAAACTAGCCATTCCTCGAAACCCATATTTTCATCGTACACTCTCATTTCATCACTGGCATGATGCGTCCAAAGCAGGCCGAGGTTGCCGGCGCAACTCTTTCCTGGTTTGCCGGGTCAGATCGCAGCGTCGCTGTCTCTAGACTCTGCAGTTGTCTGCAGATGACGACAAGAAAAGTCCTGCTTGTGACCAGCTTCACGGCAAATCTGCACATGTGCCCTGTAGGCAGAGCCTTTATTGACAGTCGACCATGTGCAAGTACACTTGCTATTTGCAGGCCTCCACATGAGGCAGATCGCCAAGTTGACCTTAAAAATGCTTTCTCCCGATTTTCACCTCTTCGCAAAGGTATCCGCAGTCAATCACGACGAGTGCGTCCATTTTTTACGCAAAACCGGTTTCTCTCTTTTGTTCTGTCTTGACCAGCATTTTGAGACTGGCAAGTGGCAAACTCGGCTAAACGCGAAAGAAGAATGCTAAGCTCGACGGTAAAATGAACATGTCAGCCTAATCTGGTATGTCGATGCCCTTTGTCGAGTCACTCGGATGTGATGAACCCGATCAACTCTCGCCGAGGATGAAGACAAGACTAATGACATATTCTCGACGGAGCTTAGCTTTCAGCTGGCATTCACAGCGTGTGAAAGAGCATTCAGCTCAACTATGCTCATAAGGGGTGAGGGAAAACAGGACTAATC